TGGGAGAGTTCCGGAAAGATCTTGACACTCCTATTTCTGATACGTGATACCAGATGGCGCTAGAGCCATCAACTGTGGCGCGCAACACTGTCCCCTCCTAAGACATGCTCGTCCCGAGCATTATCGGCCCCATAATAACGCGCCAGTCGATCCACATGAACGATCTTAGGAGTACCTCTTGCGCCTTTCTGTATCCGGTAGGTTACATCGTTGATCCTGGTCACAATCCGGTACGGGCCGTCCCCTTTAGCTGGAAACTTAGGAGATTTTCCTTTGCTGCGGACTGGATTGTGCAACCACACTAGTGAACATTCGTCGAACCCTTTGTTGTTCATTTTGCGGTCATACCGGGTTTTCATCTTTTCAGACATTTGCTGGCCCGATTGTCTGACGTGCTCATAAATGTCTTTCATTTTGTTCCATAAGTCATTTGCATAATCGGTTATACTGCGTGGGGCATCAGGTGGTATCCCGGTGATCAGGTCTGTAGGCAACCGTAATCCTCTTCCAAAGTTTGCGAAAGATGGTGTCACTGATGTACTTTCGTGAGCAGCGCTTCGATATGACAACAAAAAACGTCTACAACTTTTGCTAGGTACCTCTCCAATGTCTGATTAAATCGTTCTACCATTCCATCAGATTGCGGGTGATAAGAAGTCGTTCTTGTTTTATGAGTACCCATAACTTGGCTACTATCCTGGAATATTTGAGACTCAAAATTCATTCCTTCATCGCTGTGAATCTGTAAAGGTACTCCAAAACGACAGAAGACTTCATGAACTAGTTTATCTGCAAATGTTGAAGCTTCTTGATTTGGAATGGCGAAGACTTCTTACCACTTAGTGAAGTAATTCATCACAACCATGAAATACTTGTTACCACTTTCACTCTCCGGAAACGGCCCCGCCACGTCAATGCCTATTCTCTCCCATGGTGCACCATTATTGTACAACTTCAATGCACCTCTACTACAAGTCTGAGGTCCCTTTACAACCGCACAACTTGTACATTTGCGACCACCAGTCCTCGACATCGTTTCGACGGTGGACCCAGTAAAACCGTTCTCGGATCTTCAGTAGAGTTCGTTTAACTCCCAGATGGCATCCTGAACAATCATTATGGTACAGCTGTAGAACATCCTTGCGTCTGTGTCAACTATAAATTCCTTGCCTGTATCAGGGTACCGCAAAATAGGTGTTTTGCAAAGACGGTCCTTGAGCTCCTGAAATGCGATATCGCAACTTTCATTCCAGCAGAAATGTCACTTCACCTCGGTTAGCTTATGCAGAGGTTTGGCTAAATCTGCAAAGTTCTTCACAAATCGCCGATAATAGGAGCACAAACCCAAAAATGCTCTAACCTGCGTCTCATCTTTTGGAACCGTCCAATCCTTGACAGCGGTGATTTTCTCTGGATCCTTGCGGATACCTTTTTCCGATACTACATACCCCAAAAGGTTAACTTGCCGTTTGAATAGTGAACATTTCTTCGGACTCAACTTGAAGTTGGCACTCTGAATCTTCATGAACACGCGTTCCAGGTTTTGAATGTGTTCCTTAAACACACGGCCTACGATGATGATGTCATCGAAGTAGACCAAACAGGCATCGCCAATTAGCCCTGTAAGTACAAGTTCCATCAGCCTTTCAAACGTTGTTGGAGCATTGCACAATCCAAACGGCATTACTTTAAATTGCCACAGACCCTTTTCCGTCGAGAACGCGGTTTTCTCCTTGTCTATTTTTTTAGGTGCTATTGTGAAGCATGTCCAGCGTGTCATCAATTCTTGGCAAGGGATAGCTGTCCTTTGTAACGTCGTTCAGACGGGGGTAATCTTAACAAAACCGCATGCTGCCGTCCTTCTTCTTTACCAGCACCACAGGTGAACACCATGGACTAGATGAAGGTTCAATAACACCATCCTTCACCATTCCTTCAATCATGGTTTCCACTTCCTTTTCACGTGCTACCGGCAATCTTCTTGGCCGCTGACGGATAGGCAATTCTTCTTTCCTATGTCAGCATCGTTTGATGAGAATACTTGAGTAACAACTTCTTCGTCTTGACCATTTCGTTCGGGGTGAGAACGCTGCGACAGTCTTCTAAAAGTGTGGTCACTCTCGTTTGTGCATCCTTGCTTGGGGTCCCAGTCGATAGATATTGGCACCGACGCAACCAATCTACTTCCTCACAAGTACTAACCAGTGTGCCTTTTTCTGTAATCTGTTCCTGGTCACAAAGGTTCAGCACATACTCCTGAGATGTTGGCGGTTCTGACCAAGGTTCGAGCCACTTTCCACGGAAGGTCATTGTCTGACCTTTCCACGAGTACACAACGATGAGTTTGCCCAGGATTCCGAGGAAGACTAACCGGCACAATCGTTTCTGATCTCGACGGAAGAACAATCTTCTTAAGGCTGTACACGTTCCCTGGTAACGCCCCTTCCACGAAAAGTTCCTTAATTCTTCTATTCGTTACTAGATGGCGCTGTTGGGAGAGTTCCAGAAAGGTCTTGTCACTCCTATTTCTGATACTTGATACTAGATGGCGCTATTGCCATCAACTGTGGCGCGCAACACCACCATTACTTCTCTAACTCTAAGTAATACGTAAAATAAATGTTTCGCACTGGTTTTACAGTTTGCGGTTATGATTCGGTTGTCGTTTGCGCATTCAGTAGCAAGCAATTATCACTTATATATCGATGTCTGAAAACGGTTTTCAATAATGATATGAAAAGTCAATATCGGATATGTAACCGTTGTAGGAAAAACCTTAAAGCGTCCATGCTTAGCGCGATGTGAATTCGACTTAAGAATCTAGTCGCCAAACGTGGCCGGCTGCTGGCTGGTCGGCGGCGCTAAAACAGTTTGCTCTTGCTAAGTTAGCGACATGTGCGTCGTTTGAGATGACTATTTCTATGATGACTATGATGAATTTTTTCTATTGAAAAGAAATGTTTGCTGAGACATGCTATTGTTATAAGGATTTAGCGACTAGTGTTTTAGAAAATTTGGTGCCTTAATTCGTATGCCCATGTCAACCAGTTTCAAGTCGTTTGACGATACCGACCGAAATATCTAGACACGAACTCGAAAAGTGTTAAAGATTTAAAGATATATTAGACCAGGTTGAGATGATATCTCATTCTAAATGATTGAGCAGTTGCCTGAAATAGGAAAAATGGTGTTATTGTTACTTTGCAATGACATCAAATTTGTATAATCTTCTGCAAGAGCCAATTTTACATGCTATAATAAATAATAGATTAGAGTGGTGTTTGGAGATAAATGATGTTTTTTAAGAGCGTACTATAAGCTAGGTTTTGTCTCGACAACGTTACCTACTAATTTAGTACAAAAAGCTTCCCCGAAAGGTTACTCAACGGTAAGCTGTTTCTGGATATATACAATCCCTACAATAATGTTGACATTCTAGAACTATTAGTATTTAGACCAACTAGGTTCACAACATTGTTAATGCTTTGGGATATTTTATAAAACGACCATTGGATTGGTGTAAATTGATAGCTGGTTTTTAGACTCAGTTTGCCAATTATTAATATTACTTTCCTTTTAGTAATATGCCGTAACACGGAGGTGAGGCGTATAGCGACGTAATGAGATTACACGAATGCGTGGGTGCAACGGCAAAAAAAATACAAGATTTTGAGCAAAAAATTGTTACTTTTAATCCACTATGCGCCACCAATAACAGATAACTTTACTGAACAGGGAAATTTGTCATAATTGAAACTGTTGCCAACAGCAACTTTTTATTATTTTGATTATTTTATTTTAGTTTTTAAGGCTGGCGTCGCATCTGTTTATGGGCAGCGGGTGACACTTACTACCAGGCGAGTTGCGTGTTCGTTTGCCTCCTTTTTAATAAAAAATATGTCAGACTGAATCTGAATGACAGGGTAAGAAATTGTGTGACAAGAGAAAAATGCGCTTTGAAAGATGTTGCTGTGACTAGGATTAAGAAAGGAATGCTTCGGTAGTTTGGTCATGTAGAAAAAAATAACGAGGAAAGAGTGACAAAGTAAATTCATGTCGAAAAAGGGCGCCCTGGACAAATGTTTATCGATAAAGTTGGCGATATATTGAAGATGGGCCAGATTAAAGAGTACCCTTAGCGGACGAGCATATATGCGTTGGTATATATAGGAGTCAAAAGAGGTGTGTACCCACACTCTGGGCACAAACTAATAATAATAAATAGTGCCTCTGGGCGACAGGCATAATTGGTTTTTTTATGTATTGTCAGACTAGGATGTATGGTCATAGATAGATTTGCCATAAAATAAAAATAGTGTGTTCGAGTGTGTTACTGTCAGCCTGTCAGTATATTGCCAAACAAATACTGTACTGTATAGTGATGTTGATTTATTCAGATAAAGATCGATTCAAAAAAATCCAGGTCTACAAGATAGATTTCTCAAAAATCGATCTTTTCGATTTGCATTCAGATTCATACAAAGTACAAATTACAAACGTAACTTATGTTTTATTTATTTAACCTAAAAGTTGAAAGAAACTGAGCACACAGCAGTATTGCTAGTTTTTGAATAGAAAAACTGTCGTTCTTTACGAGTTTGGGTACATTATAATTAAAATAAATAATCTTATAGCTCCAATGAAAACAGAAAAGATTCGATCACGATTTTCTAGAGTGAAATATCGATTCACTTCTATATATGTATTACAATCGATATATAGTAAAACATTTTTTGGCACAAGGAATCGATTCATCGATTTATCGATCTCAGATCGACATGCCTAAAACACTGTCATTGTCAAGTGTCGCTGTCTTTTGCTCTATAGAGGAAAGTAATTGCTCTTTTGTCAACGTATTGATATCTCTCACGGAGAGTTTATATTTTCTGTAATTCATCATTTCTATTTAAACTTTTTGAAATTAATAAGATTTGTATTCCTAATCCACAAAATTTTATTTAAGCCCTAGTACCGTAAAACAGCAATATAGTGTTATAAATATGAGCAATAAGTCTGCTGAATTTTTCGTAAGTCCTATTAGTTTTAAAAATTTAAAATAAGTGAAACTTAAATTAAATCGTATAATTTCTACAATTTTTAAACCTTGCAGCATGTTATGAATTTTGTATATTTTCAGAATCCAGAAAATTTGCCCGTGGAAAAACTAACTCTCTCTGTTTCCAATGTAGGGGTAGTACAAGACATAAATGCTCTGGTAACTTTTTTATAACTTTAAATAAATTACATAAATTTTATGCGTTGAGTGTGGCTTTACGTGCTTTTAATATGCCATAATATTACATAAACAGTATAAATTATATTTTACATATTGATGATGATTATATATATAGATATAAATTGGAGATTGAAAATTTAATGTAAATTTACAATAAACAGTACTTGCTGGTTGGATCTGCAATAACAGTATAACATTAAGTAGTTAACAAAGCCTTACCTTTATTAACCACTTAATATTAAGCCAAAGCATTAAAAGATATTTGTTTATAACTTATAAAGTATCAATTTGAAACATTATCTATTATAAATTTATTTCAGACATACCATTTCACTACCTAATTAGCTGAATCATATTGAACTATAATATATTCAAATTACATTGATGAAGTTAGAAATTAGACAGAAAATTGTATTTTATTTTAAAAGTATTTTTTTGCAAAACAGGACTCATATTGGGTGGAAAACAGACAGTTAACACTTTATGAACGGCCACCTTCGGGTAGTGACATAGTCGTAGGTGCTGTTGATGCCTGGGTGACAAAGATGGAGATTTACTTAAAGAATCTTAAATGGCTGTTGGGCTTGGAGCATCATAGGTAGACATTATATGTACTATTTAAAATTTTCTTATTTCATGTTATTAAGTTGGATTGTGTAGTAGAGCTGTAAGAATACCCACAACCATAAGTCATCCCTTTGAGTATTGTAAGAGGCGACAGAGGGGAAGAAGCCAGGAGATGGGCATCTGATCTTCCGAATAATAAGAAAAAAACAGCTATAGAAATTATACCTCCTATGCGGCAATATATGCAGATTTTGCATAACAGGCTTGGAAGGCTATATATAGGTATATATAAGAGATTTCCTCCTATGTACACACTCATCACAATATCTCTGGAACCATAAGGCCCAGAGACTTGAAATTTGGCAGGAATATTCCTTTTGCCAAGTAAAAGTTAGCTAAGAATGGATTTTACGAAATTCAACCTGCAAAAGAGGGTTGTGGGGGTGTTAATTTAAAAAAATTACATTTTCAAACTATTACCCTTAAAGGTATACTATATAGGTAACCTGGCTATAATATTCCTTTTGGCATGTAAAAATTACCAAGAATGGATTTTATTAGATTCCACACAAACAAGACAAAGGGCAGTTTGAAGAAAAAATTAAACTTAATCTACGAAATTTGGAAAAATAATTATTTTTGTCATCTTGAGTTCAACTAAGTTTTACGAAGTTCCACTCACAAAAAGGATTGCGGGGTCATTATGATGAAAGTAAAAAAAATATTAATTATTATAGTTCAGGCTATAATGAATAAAAAAATGATGGATATTCTTTTAAAGGGTGACAAATGAGCAAACTGTCCACTTGATGGTAAGTGGATGCTGTGGCCCATAGACATCTTCTACGTATATCCTATATTAATATTCAAAATGCAGATGCATATACTTATAGGCTGAGAGGCATTCCATCTTAATCCTCAGAGGTGATGATGCATCTATTGCCTTCTTTATTTGAAGTTGGTTGGAGTACATATGCAACCTGCACCTACTGCAGTGGCACTTACCATCAGGTGGACTATTGGTTTTTCAGTTATAGAAAGTACACTAATACTCCTTCTTTTTTAAATTTAATGTCTTTTTTATTTAACATAACACCAAAAAGCAAAGTTTCATGTGTCCAACTGCTGGGCACAGGCTTCCTCTTTTATCTGAAATTGATTTTTTGTGCATGACTTATTTCAAAATTTTTAATCTCCTGCTTTAACATTTTTTTAATTCATGCACAGTCATATTGTTGGATGTAGGTAATCCTTGTTAAGAATTCACCAGCTTACTTGGACAATTTATCCATAATTAACGCACTTGCCATCCAAATTAGTGAAAGCAGAGTCAATTTCCTGAAGTGGAATTAAATAGTCCTTGTATCTTTGTAAAATATTCACCTGCTTACTTGGAAAAATTTTAACGAATGCATTAGGTATGCGAATTGGTGAAAGCGGAGTCAATATCCTGTAGTGGAATTAAACTGGTGCAGTGATTTTTAATACTTTCGTAATCATTGGCCAGTTTTATTAATTAATTAAGTGTAGTGGTTGTACAGTGTACAGGGAGAGAAACGCTGATATATTCTCCTTTACAATCTAGTATTTGACATATTATGTACTGCAATTTTAACAAATCACAAGAAAAAAATCTTCTGATACTTTCCAGATTCTGGAGTACAGTATTATATCATCCAAATTGTATGGACTCTTTAATTTCCTTTCTGCAAGAAGCCAGCCCACCTTACATGCCTCCACATGAAAGCAAGAATGTACAAAAACTTTATGAAGAAATCAGAAGACTGATACTTATAATTTTCAGTAGGCTTATCACTAATAAAGAGAGTAAGGTATGTTTTCATATGCATAGCTACTAATACACTTTTTATCTATACAAAATATATAAGTATAGATGAAGTGGCGACCTGTTAAGACTTGTAGTAAGTTGGTGGATGCAAGACCATGTATTGTGGAATTCCTTGAGCAGCAGTGGACTTGCAAAGGGCTTTAATAATGATGATAATTACTAAAAATGAAAAGCTTAGGTGTATATGTAATTTCACATGTGAAAAAGCATATCACATAATATATAGAATGTTGCATGGGCAAAAACACTATGTCAGTTAATCTTTTTATTTGCCAGTCACGTTGGATGAGCAAGGAATATATGGCAACAATGATCTACGACAGGTTCATATTCACAGTACCAGTGTTATGGGACATATGTTTGACATACGGTGTGGACAATTCTCAACATGTGTCAAGGTTATTGGATGCTGTTTTCAAAATTCAGCCACAGTATGAAAAAGATTCCGCAGCAGCTGTAACTTTTGTCAAAGAGGTGAGTTCCTAATATGTGTTCCGTTATTTCCGAGTTGTTTATTCTTGTTCTATTTCATTGCATTCTTCTAGTGTCACGCTGGTCCTATGTTGGTCGGGGCCTGGGACTTATAGCATAGTAAAAACAGATTAGTAGGATGACTCCTGCCCCGCGCGAGACTTAAATACTTACTTTTGCAGGGTTGTCACTGTCTTTTTGTTTAAAAGCTATGTCTCATTTAGTTTTATAAGTAGTTATAATATTTACAAACAATACATTCAGATATGTACCTATGCATCATATTTGTTAATCATTTCTGTAGTTTCCTCTCAAAATAGTTTCCTCTCAAAAAGTCAATGTTTGTCAAAGAAATTCCAGCTTTACATTACAACAAATGCCTAATAACTAAAATACGAGTAAATTAACAATGAGCTTATGGTGTCAGCTGAGATTTAATGTTTAAAATTAATTTGATGTGATGTGATACGATAATTAATGTACTTATGAGGTATGTATTTATTTCCAACTTAGCAAGTGTCGTTGTGTGCGTGCTGTAGCTCGTGCGTACGAGTCCGTACTGTCACGTTCCAGGCGCGCATACTAGCGGCGTTCGGTACATTGCTTACGAGTAGAAAATAGCCTACTATTCTGTTTTTACTATGCTTATGATATCCATGTTGATGTGGAATTTATAACAAAAAAGATTGTGCTAATTATGTTGCTTGCTTGTCTAGCATGCCATTATCCACTATCGCGGTCCCCTCGACCGGGCTTCCCTCGCCTGCGCTACGTTAAGTGGCGTGGTGCTTCCCTCACCCAACTCTCTCCCGTAGCGCAGTGGAGGGAACCCCGCCGCGAACCCCGCCATCTCCATCTAACCTAACCTGTCAGAGTCGGGATGCACTAAGTTCAGAGCTCGCTTCGCTCGATCTTACACTCAACCGAAATAAAAAGTTAATAAATAAACAAAAAAAACTTACATTAAAAAGGTATTTTTTAATGTAAGTTTTTTTGTGTAGATTATGAAAAAAATAACATCTTCGTTTGATTATTTGTCAAAAAGTTAGCAACAGCTATATGTGAGTGAGTGCATTTTCATGAACATTTAAAGCCCCGAAACCAATATAAGTTTTAATTTTTTTATTCCTGTAATTTTTTCGTAAATCCGCCATAAAAGCGAAGATTTAAAAAAAAACATTAATCGAAATCGGATGATTTTTCGATTTTCAAGAGCCAAAAAACGAGGGGACCACTGGGCTTGTGATTATTGTGTTTACTGCTCTTTGAACTATAAATTTTAAACTCTTTTAACTAACTTAACCCTAAAGAGATCACAGGTGTACAATTAGCGGCACAAAAGTCCAGCGGTGGCCGTTATTGCTCATAATTGGCTGGCCGTATTGCGCATTATTGCGTTTGATTGGCTGTGCGTATCCTTCGCACGCGCTGATTGCTCTTCAGTCGCATTCCGCCCCCCCCCCCGTACTGATAAGATATTCGCATCTATCCCCACCACGTATCGTTCAGCGCTAGAGTTACGTGCCGCGAGTTATAATGCCACCTTTAGAAGTTTTTTAGAATTTTTTGAATATTTTTAATAAAGTATGAAATCATTGTAAGAATCTATCCCCTAAGTACACGTTTTTTTAATTAAAATATTTTTCGCATATGTAACTAATCGACGTAAATGGAAATATGTTTTGTCATACAGAGTAAGTAACTCGGTGGCGATACAAATTTAAAATGATGGAAATTCATGAAAGGGTAACTATCAGTATAACTAGTACCAAACCAAAGATTACTTAGGTTCTACAATGAGTATATCATGCAGAGAAACTTCTCTCCATAGCTTGCTAAGCGAACTTAAGTTTTCTTACATTATCTGTCCGTGTATAATGGTAAAAAGTGTAGGAGGACTTCTTAGTGTGGGGTAATGCGTTTTTTAAATACATTAATAAATATTGTATTGCTTATGGTATGAACAGTTTTTAAATATAAGTTGTTAATACCATGTTTTTATTTATGCAATTTCGTGTATAGCCTGTACGGATAAAGAATGGGATTATATGTGACGGCTCATCGAGCCCGTATCGTCGGCATGCACAATACAAATAATGAAAACCCGCTAATAACGGTATGCCGTTATTATATTAATGAAAACGTTAGTTATATTATTCGGTTAATTGGAATAGAAATGGGAAATGTTTAAATATAATTTTTTTCTTTTTTTTTTATTTATAGAGACAAGTAGACACATTAATTTAAAGTAACATTTACGAGGACTGTACTAAAAGTATCGGGAATGAAATATTTCCACTGTTCCTGTCATATTAAAATCTTTTTAATTGAAAACTCCTTCGTTTTAAAAATCGAATACCATTTATTTATTTCAAAAAAGATTCTCGGTCTTGTCACAAGTTTTTGTCAAACTTGTTTAGTCATTGAGAAAATTCAAGAGCGATGATTTATTATGACTTTCGAAGTGGTTTAACACAAAAACAGTCTGTTGACCGGATGATTTCTGCATTTGGTGATGAAGCCCCAACTAAACTACAATTTATCGCTGATTTGCTGAATTTCAACGTGGACGTGTCAAGCTCAGTGATGATCCCGTCAAGGTCGTTCAAAAGCTGCAGTCACCCAAGAAAACGTTGATGCTGTGCGTAAGCTTATTGAGGAAGATTGACATGTGAAATACCGCGAAATTCAGGCAACTTTAGACATTGGCATGAGTCAAATACAAATAATCTTGCATGAACAATTAGGTGTAAAAAAGTTGTTTTCCCCGATGGATACCGCATTCGCTCTGTGAAGAGCAAAAAGCGGCTCGCGTTACTTGGTGCGTCAGAACTCTCGAAAGATTCCACGCAGGATCCTCAAATGATGTATACAACATCGTATCAGGTGACGAATCCTGGATATACGCGTACGAACCCGAAACAAAAACCAGTCACGAGTTTGGGTGTTCGAAAATGAGTTAAAGCCAACGAAAATTGTTCGTTCACGGAGTGTTGCAAAAAAAATGGTGGCCACGTTTGTCTCCAAAACCGGCCATGTTACGACTATTCCTCTTGAGGGACAAAGAACGGTTAATGCAGAATGGTATGCTAGCATTTGTTTGCCACAGGTCGTTTCTGAACTCCGTAAAGAGAACTGCAACCGCCGCATCATCCTCCATCACGACAATGCGAGTTCTCACACTGCGCACAGAACAAAAGAGTTTTTAGAGCAAGAAAACATAGAATTATTATTAGACCATCCGCCGTACAGCCCCGACCTAAGCCCTAATGATTTCTATACTTTCCCTAAAATAAAGAATGAATTGCGTGGATAGAGATTTTCATCACCTGAAAAAGCTGTGGACGCCTACAAAACGGCAATTTTGGAGACCCCAACTTCCGAATGGAATGGTTGCTTCAATGATTGGTTCCATCATATGGAAAAATGTGTCAAATTTCGCGGACAATACTTCGAAAAGCAATAAATACATTTTTAAATAGTAATGTTGTATCACTTCCTTGATTCCCGAAATTTTCAGTGCCGCCCTCGTATATCCAGTGCATTGGCTTCGCTGGGATAAAATTGAATTATTTACAAGTACAGATTAGTAAATTATTAACGAAGACTATGAAATAAAATGTATTTCTAAAATTGTATGTATTGTATTGTAATGTATTTCTTAAAATAAGTTTATATTAATTTAAATAACAGTTATTAATATATTTCAAACGGAAGGACAGGGAGGCAAGCAACTCTATAGACATTTATTATTTATTTTTATATTACCATTTTTAAAGTACAAGAAGAAGAAAATAAAATCATTGGAAAATTAATTTTTTTCGAGATTTCTTATATAAATACCCCCGTGGGCTTTAACCTTTTTTTGGTTTCATTATTTGACCAATTATTAAAAAGTTACAGCCCTGCAACAAAGAGACAGATAGACTTAGTAATAGGTTATATATAGGTTCCGTTGGGTATTGGCGGTGTAAGGATATCTACTACTCCATATCACCACTTAGGTGTCGTAAAAGGAGACAGAGGGAAACAAATCTGGAGATGGGCAGCAACATTCATCTAGTGTCTATCCGTTTGTTTATAATTAACGATTCGGACATAGTATGTCATCATCATCATTCATCATTACAGCCCTTCACAAGTCCACTGCTGAACATAGGCCTCCCCCAAGTAATGCCATAAAGCACGGTCCTGAACCACCTGCATCCATCGACTTCCTGCATGTCTTACCAAGTCGTCACTCCATCTAGTGGGGGTCGCCCTACACTACGCCTACCGGTACGAGGCTGCCACTCGAGAACCTTTCTACCCCATCGGTTATCGGTTCTTTGAGCTATATGGCCGGCCCATTGCCGTTTTTTGCCATTTCAGCTTACTAATCCGTTGGGCTATGTCGGTCACTGGTTTTACTGAGGATATCCTCATTTATGAGTCTATCACGCAGAGAAACTCCGAGCATAGCCCTCTCCATAGCTCGCTGAGCGACCTTGAGCGTCCTCATACGGCCAGCAGTGAAGGACCACGTCTCAGATCCGTAAGTCATCACTGGCAACACGCACTGGTTGTACACTTTAGTTTTCAGAGATTGAGGTATATCTGACGAAAAGATGTGTCGTAATTTCCCGAACGCTGCCCAGCCGAGTTGAACCCGTCGATTGACCTCTCGGTCGAAGTTGGACTTACCTAGTCGGACTATTTGTCCCAGGTAAACGTACTCGTCAACAACTTCGAGCATAGTGCTCCCAACAACTACTTTTGTTTTGTCCATGTTCATCTTAAGACCTATCCGTTGGGAGACACCATTGAGGTCATTGAGCATAGTGCTAAGGTCCTCCAGCGATTCCGCCATAAGGACTATATCGTCGGCAAATCGAAGGTGAGTGATGTACTCGCCATTGACGTTAATACCGTATCCTTTCCAGTCCAGTAGCTTGAAAACGTCTTCCAACTCAGCGGTGAACAGTTTTGGGGATATAACGTCACCCTGTCTTACACCTCTCTGCAGTTGGATAGGTTTCGAACTCTGGTTCTGTACTCGGATAGCCATCGTAGCCCTACTGTACAAACATTTCAGCACTTCGATATACCGACAGTCAACTTGGCACCGCTGAAGGGACTGTAGCACCGCCCAAATTTCGACGGAATCAAAGGCTTTCTCATAGTCCACATACGCCAGGCAAAGTGGCAGATTGTACTCTTCGGTCTTCTGTACAATCTGCCGCAGGGTGTGTATGTGGTCTATGGTACTGAAGCCTTTTCGGAAACCGGCTTGTTCGGAAGGCTGGAAGTCGTCGAGTCTGCGTGCGAGACGATTCGTAATGACTATCGCAAACAGCACGTAGACGCGGCTCAGAAGGGAAATCGGTCTGTAGTTCTTCAAGAGAGCGTTGTCGCCTTTCTTAAAGAACAAGACCACCACACTTCTGCTCCACGCCTCCGGAGTAGTGCCACCATGGAAGACGGAATTGAAGAGCTTCTGAAGGACTTCAAGTACCGGTGTTCCACTCGCTTTTAGAAGCTCCGCTGTAATTCCATCCTCGCCTGGGGCCCTGCCGTTTTTAAGGTGCTGGAGAGCCATTCTAATCTCGCTCAGACTGACGTCCGGGATATCATCGGAATAGTGTCGGATAAGACTTGCTCTTGGATCGTTACTCACACTTGCTTGTGGCTCCAACGATGATGTGTACAGCTGCTTATAGAACCTCTCAATCTCACTCAAAATCTCAGGTGTCACGGAAACGATGCTGCCACATTCAGTCTTCAGCTTTGACAGTTGGCTCTTTCTGGCAGACAGATCTCTGGCGAAGACTTTGGAGCCCTGGTTCTGCTCGATCGCTTCTTTAATACGAGCAGTATTAAAGTTGCGTAAGTCTCGCCGCATGCATTTGGAGATCTGTCTGTTTAGTTACCTGTATGCTGTCAAATCTGTTGACGATTGCAGCCCATCTCCTGTCTAACAGCCATGAGATTAAGAGTGTGTTCGGAGAGTTTTTGTGTTCTTCTGCGGTGGGTCTGGCAGAACTTAGCTCCGGCCGCATGGACAGTTTCCACGAGCTTGTCATTCATATCGTCCACTGCATTGCAATCTTCTAGGCACTGAAAGCGGTTACGCAACTCGAGCTGAAAGGTTTTGGGGATTCTGGATTAGAGCACGAGGGGGACGGAGCGTTGACTTCATTAGACGGGACCTCTCCAACTTAACGTTTAGGTTCACTGTGCCTCTAACCATTCGGTGATCGCTGCCAGTTTTCACCCTTGCGATCACTGAGACACACTATGTACCTTTAAATAATAATAAAAACATTGTATTCGCTATACAGTATTCGTTTTTTCAATCGTTGTCCGTTCTTAGGGTTCCGTACTCAAAGTGTGCCCCGTATCGTACCGTTACATCCTATTAAAGGTCACTACTGAGTAAGTCTCTCCCATAGATTGCCTCATATGGAGGATTTTTGCTATAGTTGCCACGCTTCACAAGCGGGTTGGCAACCGCAGTTTTTTTTTATTAGTTTAAGTTGTTATAAGAACGTACGAAAAACGCATATCGCAACATATTTTTTTGTAGTCTCTACCGGTGGGTGTGAGTATAGATAGCGACAGTGTGCGAGCGAGAGATAAATAGAGGCGACGCCATATTCAGTCCCAATCTTTAACCGCACGAGTAGTATGTTTGTTCGGGTCGAATTTAGTAATTGACTAACTTCCTGACGAGCTAAAGACTTGAAATGTTAAATGTAGCTTAGAATCGGATGACAGTGTAAGAATATTTAAAAAAAAAAAAGAAGTTTAATAATTTTCAGGACACTTTAAAAACATGCTTATTAAAAAAATACCGATTGACTTTTTTATTATTTGTTTCACTTTGCTTACTGAAATTGTAAATCGCAATCTTGAGCGCTGATTCAAACATCGTTAGGTGAAAACATCGTGAGAAAATCTGCATGTCATAGAACTTGATGATGACGAATGAGACTTGTGATGTCCTTGCAATTAGGGCTAACCTACTTAGTAACGAGAGGGAGACTGTGCCCAACAGGATGCTGCAAATGTACCTTTTGTTTTATATATAACATAATAATACCTATTCCTTTCCACATTTAAGGCCTTCAAATTCATAATCCTGCAAGTAAATAAGGACTTTGACAACGAAGAACCTCCAAACCTTCCTGAAACCTTCAAAGGATTCAGTGAGATTAAGAAACCTTCCAACAACAAGAGTCAAGATTCACTGACGTTTGATATTCTACGAGATCTAATAATACATTTATTAGACACGGCTATGACGTTACGAATATTTTTAGAGAACTATCCGAAAGGTGTACAGATTTTTAGAAAGACTAATTTTATTTTAAGGTGAGGAAATATGTGATTAAAAGCCATAATATGCTTTTAATATATTATATATTTTTATTCGCAGTGTTTTTTTTAAATATTTTTTATTCAGACCCAGGAAATTATATATTAATTTTACGTATTTTTAACTTCTCGCTAAGAAAAGTGAAAATTTTCAAAAATAGGGAAGTTATTGGTTTCATCCCAATTTTTGAAAATCGAGTTTTCATCAGATCTTGACGTTTTGAGATCCCAGGAAGCTATTCTGACTAATTTCACGTGGACATCCGTACGGATGTATGTATGTATATGTGTTTAAACCTTTCGTAACGTTTTAACGTCTTGCTCGATTGAGATGCGGTTTGCGTCGTTCTAAAGATCTCAATGTGGATCTCAATATGAACTGATTCGGACGAGTAGATTTTGAGAAATCTCAAAAATAAAAATTTTGAAAAACTGTTTTTTTTTTGGAATAACTTAAACTTCTTTACCGATCGATTTCAAAAACTAATCGGCTCTTAACCTCAAAAATGACGTCGAACGCCGTTTGGAAAATAAAAATCGGTTTTTTCGTTCGTGAAATATCGAAGGAGAAAGAAATTGAAAAAAACTTTTTTTAACATAACTTTGAGATTTCGCAACATAATTTGGTAAAATTTGGAGCACTTTGCATTTGAAATTAGCGGGAATTTCTAGGGATGGTCTGCAGGGTCAACCAATTTTTTTAATTATGTCTAGAAAGTTATTCCGTTGTGCCAGTGTTACAGAAAAACTTTCTTCACATCGTCATCAGTCGACGAATTTTAATAATTCTAATTATAATAAATCTTTTTTATATAGAGTAGATAGTCAAACGAGCATACGGTCCACTTGATGGTAATTGGTTTCTGTGGCCCATAGACATCTACATCTATCCTCGATTACGAATCAAAATGCAGATGCGATGTAGCCCGTGACTACTAAAATGGAATGCCTTGTTTCCTGTGAAATGTCTCCGGTTCTCTACACTCACCATACGTAATACAGCAGAATTAAGCAACTATTTTACGCTGTTATTCTGTGAGAATCTAACTATTTTATAGTCTATTATAATTATTAATTTACTACTCTCTTATATTCATAAAAAATTTGTCAGATTAAAATATATAATATTTATTTTCATTTAATTAATGTTAAAAAAAAATATTTGTTTACATTGTACTATACTTATTACCTACTCTCTGTGCAGCATTGATATTGTTTTTCAGTGCAGTCCAGCTATATGAATATGGGATACCGAAGTTGTATGAGAAGTTGGAAGAAGTTGGCGATAAATCAAGCAATGTGTACACGGAGGTTGAGGAATATATAGACTTGGCGAGGGCAGAACTGATTGATATTTTGAGGGAAATATTAGCCATATACAAGAATGCCATATTCAGTGGGGAGTAAGTTTTTCTTTTTTCGATTTTTCCGATGGTTTAGGGACATTTAAAAGAGGGCCTACACCTTTTTTAAGGGCCAGCAACGAACATGCAATTCCCAGTTTATCATAGTGGTGTAGTTTATCTTAGTCACTAAACAGTGAGTTACCTGCATGGCCGTTTGCTGCCTCCTATAAAAAGTATTAATATCGAATAATAATAGAAAAAATAAATAACAAGCTTATTGACCATTAGGGACGATCCTCACTATAATGTTATTCACAGTTCGTTCTTGGTACATTCTCGATTGAACTCGATTGATGGATTCGAGCGAAACTTAAATGTTACGGATGGTATCAACGCACATACATATTTTTTACTTAATAATATTTTATTAGACCGCGATCGGACCGAGAACTAACTGTGAACGGCATTATAGTGGGGATCGGCCCTTATGGTGACTTAAAAGAAACCGTGTGAGAAATATGAGTCCAGCTGTGTTATTTTGTGGGTTATTTATATAGAATGAAAATACATAAATATGTTGTTCTGTAATTTTATGTTCACAGTACGCAGTACATTGTTTACATATAGATATATAAGTTAACAGTGTAATGGCAGTGTAAGAATAACCTCTACCCCATATCGTTCCACGGGTATCGTAAAAGGCGACAGAGGGAAACTGAAAACAGGGAATGGGCAGCAGTATCTTTTTGATATCAACTCAAAATAATAAAAAAACTGCCACCGTTCGACGGGACTTCTTCCTGGTCAGCTTACAAAATTCAGTTCGAAGCTGTTCTGAAGGTGAACGGCTGGAATAAAAGTCAGGCCATGACTGCTCTCACACTAGGCCTGCGCGACCAGACCTTAACTGTTCTCGAAGCTCTCGGTAAGGGAGTGACTTATGAGCAGCTTCTTAAGGCAATGGAGGCGAGATACGGCGACGCTTACCTGGAACACGTCTTTCGTGCGCAGCTTAAAGATCGCGTGCAACGCATTAACGAAAACCTGCAGCAGTGGGCTCTTGAGTTGGAAAAGCTGGTGCGAAAAGCATATCAGTCTGTACCTGCGCTCATTGAAGGGAACCTGGTGCAGACATTCATCGACGGCATCCGCGACCTGGAAGTCAGAGCTGCTGTGAGGCTCAGGCACCACGTGACGCTCTAGGAAGCCTTGGCCCATGCACTGGAGTTTGAAGCCGTGCGGCAGGATCATCGTTCCCATTGCATTAGAGAGGTTGCAACAGCTACAGTTCGCGACCGCAATAATGGATACAGCCCTAGGTGCTATGGCTGTGGGCAAAGGGTCATCTTCGACCCAGCTTCCCTAAGCGATCTGTAAAAAGGGAAGGTGATCGAACTCGAAAGGGTACTGCCGCTTACAGCACCGCCCAGCAGCAGCAGGAATACGACTTGACTATCGCACACTGCAGCAGGAAATCGAATGGCAACGCAGATGCATTGTCAAGAAGACCTTATCCTGATAAGTGCAGGAATAGTTCTAGGCAAGAGAGTAAAGAAGTGGTATCCTCCATATGCTCAGGACCGACCACCTCAGCAACGAGTGGAAGGACAGTTTACAACATGCACAGCAGGAAGATCCGGACATCAAGCCGATTCTGGAATGGATGAAGGCCGATGCTCCCAAGCCCAAGTGGAGCGATATCTCAGCGATAAGCTCGACCACTAAAAGCTATTGGGCCTAAGTAATTGAGTTCTATGCCGTAAATGGGAAAATGTTCGGGGAGACAGCTGTCATTTGCAAATGGTTGTCCCTAAAGCTAAAATACCGGATGTTCTACAGCTGTACCATAATGATTGTTCAGGAGGCCATCTGGGAGTTAAACGAACTCTACTGAAGATCCGAGAACGGTTTTGTGGATCCACTGTCGAAACGATGTCGAGGACTGGTGTCGCAAATGTACAAGTTGTGCGGCTGTAAAGGGATCTCAGACTCGTAGTAGAGGTGCATTGAAGTTGCACAATGTTGGTGCACCATGGGAGATAATAGCCATTGACGTGGCGGGGCCGTTTTCGGAGAGTGAAAGCGGTAACAAGTATTTCATGGTTGTGATGGATTACTTCACTAAGTGGCCAGAAGTCTTCGCCATTCCAAATCAAGAAGCTTCAACAGTTGCAGATAAACTAGTTCATGAAGTCTTCTGTCGTTTTGGAGTACCTTTAGAGATTCACAGTGATCAAGGAAGGAATTTTGAGTCTCAAATATTCCAGGAAACTTGCCGAGCTATGGGTTTCTCGTAAAACAAGAACGACTTCTTATCACCCGCAATCTGATGGAATGGTAAAACGATTTAATCAGACATTGGAGAGGTACCTAGCAAAATTTGTAGACAATCGGCAACGAGATTGGGACAAGCACATACAAAAGTTGACGTCTGGTACCTGGCACTAGCGACATCTAGTGTCGGGGACCAGAGTGAGGAGGGCTTCCTAGAAAATGTCAATCTTGACTTTCCACCAACAGCGCCATCTAGTATCCAACAGAAGAATTAAGCTTTCTAGAAGCCCCACACTCGAACTTTCTGCACCTGTGTACCTACTGCGCCTAGTATTTGCTGGAATATTCTGGATGTTTCGGTGGAAAAAGGTGTATTTAAAGCCGCTGCAAGCCGCGATCGGGGCAGTATTGTATTTGGCGATACAAGCGAAGCTTAAGAGCGAAATAAAGTGAATCAGTGTGATTATTAGTGTCTTTTAAAATTTAATTGGTGTTCGGTAATAAAACTGTAAATTTTGGTAATTCAATCGGCAGTATTTATTGTCACGAACCTCAAGCTCGTAACAATAGATGGCTATAAGAGCAGTAGCTCAATGCATAAGTGGCCACAATTTTATGAGGAAAAGCAAATGAGTGATAATAACATGCATTCTTAACATACCAAACAATCTACTGTCTTATTTCCATCGATTATAATTCTCATCAAAGGTAGCATTTTCAATGACAATCAACAAATCCAAGTGTCAAACTTTAAAGGAGCGGCAGTGCAATTGGGTATGGCATTCAAATAAAACTAGGTTTTGCGGATTTTATCGCGTATATTTACTTATTTTATATTCCCGACATTTCGAGCACTTTAAAGCATCCATGGTCACGGGGGGCAGGGGGCGGTCCCAATGTCATAGTTAACCACGGCTACCTCCAGATTAAAATTATTATTTTTGGTCCGATCTATGCATTACGAAATTATAGTATCCTGAAATCTTGCAGTCCTATGCTTTGGTTGGGATTTAATTTTATTAATTATAGGATCCCAAGCATATGGTAGCTCAGATAATTAGCGCTCGCTGTAAATTTCATAGTACACGAGCAAACCGGTCTCGATCCCCGCCGGCTCCAATGAAATTGTTAATTGCAATTTTAAGTGCTGATTTACCACGTGCTCGGTGGTGAAGGAAAACATCGTGAGGAAACCTGCATGTCTGAGAAATAAGAAAAAAAATTTGGCAGACATGTGAAGTTCACCAACACGCATTAAGGCAGCGCGGCGGACACTTCCTTGCCCTAAAACCCTCTTAGAAATGAGCGGATGCCTGTGCCCGGGAGTGGGATGTATATAGGCTGTAACTTTAGGCAGTTGATGCATTATATTGCGGGTCAGAAAAATTATTATGTAATCTGTTATTGAATTGGTTCAAATTTGGGGCTGAGACTATGTTCTCTGGCAGTTTATTAAACTGTGATTACACGGTTACAAATGAAGTTCTTATGAGGGTTGTTGTTTGAAAAGCTGGTAACATAGTTTAAGATGTTGGCCCTTGAGTCATTCATTCATTACGAATGAAATTTTTGTCAAACTCCTCAACATTGTAATGTCCACTTAAGATCTTAAAGGTTTCGATTAGATCTCCTCGTTACCTGGGTTTCTTAATGTTGTAAGTTTTAAAACTTCGTTCAAACGTTCTTTATAAGACTGCCGTTTCAATAGCCGTGGTACTGTACACACGTACAGTACCACGGCTATTGACCTATGGACCACAAACTTCTCGGAGCGTCGATTCGTTCTTTAACGTAGATTTTTATTATCTTTTAGTTTGTCCTATGTAAAATATAAAATAAAGTAATCTACTCGATAAAATCCGTAAAAACTAGTTTTGTTTAAATGTACGCGTAAATATAAGAAATTATTAATATCGCACCACAAAAGTCTAAGTGAAATATCATTGTTATGCTGTTATTTCATATACAGACATATGAGTGCAATTAGCAAGGATTTCCATCTAAGTCTCTAAAGCACAAACACATCTTTTTTGTATAGAGTAATGGTGACAAACTGACTGTTGAGAAACAGATTGGTGAGACTGGGAAGAGCCAGCAAGAAACCCAGTGGGACTATTTTGTTTTTCAAATAATAGCTTACACATCATGTTTGCAATTAATAACACAAGACAAAAGTAAAAATAAACGCGATAAAATCCGTAAAAGTAGTTTTAATCATGTATAGTGTTCGCGTAAATATAAGAAATCATTATGTAACATAAGACAAATTAGAAATAGCTTGGTAGCGATCACCCTTCCCAGGAGTTACATATACAAAAATGCAGCTTCATTGTCATCGCTGAGGACTGAGATGAAATGCTTCGATACCAGTAAAACGGGTCTCCAGTTCTCTCTGCACTCACCATACGAAACACAGCAGCATTAAGCTGCTATTCTACGCTGGTATTCTGTTAGTGCGTGGTTCTTCCCCAGTCAAGCCGACATATTCGTGCTACGACTATAATATAGCTACATCATGGCTCTACCACGTATAATATGCATTTTGATTCTTAATCGAGAATAGATGTAGGCGTCTATAATTTACAGCATCCAATAACCATCGTATGGACTATGCGCTCATTTATCATCCTTGTTTAAAAAACAGTTTTATAAGTATTATCCTACAGGGGCAGTACAGCAAGCCATGTTGAAGATTTCCTCGCAGTGATGATGGACGCCCTCGCCGAAAAGCTGCTAATTCGGGACTACCACCTATGTTACCCGATCAATGAGGATCTGGAGATGCTGCGACAGGCATACCCCGATATGTATCCTTTGTTAAAAAAAATTATATACTATTTACTATTGTTTTATCAGTTACATTCCCCGGAGCGCGAACTCACCAACGCTTCAGTCAGTAATGGTAATTAATGCTATTTGACATAAATTTCATCTAAACACAAGTGTTTTCCTAAAATCAAAGACTTGATTAAACAGCACTTTTGCTCGTGCAAAACCTAGCAATGAATAAAATTAACATCTCTATTAATCAACTAAGCAATGTACAGATTTTTGGACCTGAATTTAATTTGCTAATGCTAAATAAAAAATCGCATTATAAAAATTAATTCGAATAATAGCTGTAAGATAAGGATGCTCAAAAGATGAAAAAACAAAAAAAAATATGTATTAGATTAATATGTAATATCCGATATCAATAAACGTAAGGCGTTGATTTTACAGACTGGCTATGAGTTTTAAGTTAAAAGTTTGGTGTATATTATTCAGCCCGTTGGCTTAATCAGTTTGTTATTCAAACGGCAATCAAGCTAACAGTACATCTGTTGGTAATTGGGTACTATATCCTTGACTGCCTAGTTGCTCAAGTGATCTTAAATGTGACTACTAATCATGATGTACCTACCAGGTCGGGACAAAAAAATTTAGGGATGCTTCGTTACGCGTTTTTGCCGATACGATACCGATGCACTTATAAATACTAATACGCTTGTTGAATTCAAAAATGAAGATAAAATAAATAAATAAGACACAAGTCAGGTTATTTTTTAATTAATATAAAATGAACAAATAACAGGACAAACTAAATAAAACCGTTTAAAACTATAGAAATATTGAGATTATTTAATAGTTTTAATAATTAAAATTAGCACTAATGGGATTTTTATTTCAAAAACAAAGTATTCTTAAGTTTTGCGGAGAAAAGTGATTTCACAAATCTGTTTGAATAAGACTTGCGGTGGAAAATAGTCTCTCAGATGCTACAGAACTCATTTGAAAACTAGAGTACTTCTGCGCCATTTTTTTCAGGTTTGGGTATAAGACGTTATTGCGCTAGAAAACGAACGGGTCTGCACCTCTCGATGTATTAGGAGACCTTGGGTGAGATACCTTCTTCTTTGAGACACGTGAAGGAGGAACAAGAAAACAAGACACAGCACAGCATAGTTAGTTCGTGCCTCGTTTGCAAGGGAATAGATTTTAAAGCGCGAATTTTTAAAAGTATCGTTGAATCGGGCATAAAATATCGCCAATGCCGATATATCGGCAAAATTGGAGTATCATCGATATATCGGTATCGGATTCATCCCTAAAAAAATATAAGGTATTCTGTCAAGAAATGCTAGTTTTGTTAAGACTGGCCGCCGAGACCGAAATCCCTACTATTAGTAAAATAGATTTTAAAACCTTTATAAAGTTAAACGAAGTTGCTCAACAAAATTTCTTAACAATGCCTGGTTAATCAATCTCAAATCCTGACACCAAGCACTGGATGGCTTTTTTGACTGTCTGGAAATAAATAGGGTGTAATATGTGAACGGAATAGAAGCCTATGGCACTGATATTTTACATAAAATAAAAACAAAAATTTTGAATTAAACATTTGAAAAGTTTTTTTGAACAATTTGCGAAATGATAAGGTAAAAGATGCCTACTAAATTTATTGTTTTATTGCAGTTCATAAAGTAGGGTGGATATGATTTCAATTTCGATAGATTTTAATTAATTTTATTTATTTAATTCAAAATTTTGGTTCCGTTTTGTAAAATATCACTGCCATAGGCTTCTCTCCGTTTACATGTTACACCCTATTTTTTCCAGACGGTAAAAAAGGTCATCCAGTACAAGGGCTGCTGAAAAAAATTCTTAAAAAAGTGTATATTCAATTTTTCATTGTTATATTTATTTTATCTTAATATATTCATCTATTTTCTTAACTTGAATACAGAGATACAGTTAAGACTGATTTTATTTTACAAGCTATATATTCAAATTTAGAAGAGCCTATACCCGAAGATGCACTAGGCAACAATACAGAGGCCTTAACGAACGGCCATATTGCAACCACAGATAATGTCGAACCAGGTCCTTCCACAGACAATGAAATACCCGATAACATAAAGGAGGAATCATTGATAAGTGAAGTGAAGGATATCTTTCCACATTACGGTGACGGATTTATACTGAAATGCTTGCAACACTACGGATTTAATACCGAGAGAGTTATTAATAGTCTTTTAGAAGGTACTTTGGCGGAACCCTTAAAAGGTATTTTTTTGTATATTTTACTAGAGTTAAATTAAGATCAGGGTACATCTGATGGTAACCGGGGTAAAAATACACTTTCACAGAATACTAGCGTCAAATAACATTATTTGACGCTGGTATTCTGTTCTGCCATATATGTGGGCTGGTACTGCAAAATGCCACCTAGCAGTTTTGGACTCAATGGAAAGGCGTGCGAAGAGGCTTATTGGTGACCCAAATTTGGTTAAAACCAATCTTACCAGCCTCCAACATAGACGTAAAGTAACCATCCTTTCGGTTTTCTACAAGATGTATTTCGGAGAGTGTTCGTAGGAATTGCATAATTTTATTCCTCCCTCTCCCTTCCACCAACGGACAACCAGACGTTCGGCCAGTCTGCACTCTTTCGTTGTTAACTTACTACGCATTCGAACCAAATGGTTTGCTGCGTCGTTCATCATGCGTACAACAAAGGAGTGGAATAAGTTGCCAGCATCTGCCTTTCCATTCGATTACAATGTGGGTGTCTTCAAGGCAAGAGTGAATAGGTTTTGGTTAAGTCAGTGCGTTTTTCCATCTTAGGCTACATCACCACTTACCATCAGGTGGGATTGTAGTTGCGCTGGCTTAGAATAATAAAAAAATGCAACTTAAAACTGCTTTGTTTCGTATGATGAATGTAGAGAACCAGAGACCCTTATTACTCTGGTAATGAGGCGTTCCATCTTAGTTTTTAGGATCAACAAGGAATGTGCATTTTGATTCTTAATTGAGAAATGCTTACCATCGGGTGGACTGTGTGCTTGTTTGTCACCCTTAGGGCGCTTATACAAGCTAAGAAAAGTCGCCGAATCTATGCAAGAATATGTGTCATTTCTACACACGAACTGTGTACAATGATGCGGCGCTGATAAAGAAAAAAATCTTGTCCGCGTTAGACAAGACGAGCTATGTATGGTTGCGGTGAAGGGAGGGGCGGAGTAGGTGAGGTGTTTCAATTATTTGAGTATTTTTGTACATGCATGGACGTGTTTACATGCAAGCACCCAGTTTATTACGCAGGATTCGGGATGGAATCAAATAATACCACTGGGTTGCTTATAAGCTTAGTGGAAGCACGACCCGTATCGTAGGAAAACCCTTTGAAATGTATAAAGAAAAACGATGCTCTTTTGAAGCATGGGGAGAATATATATTTACTATCATAAACAGCGGTTTTTAATTACAAACAAACTTGACTAGTGCACCATACCCTACACACGACTGATCGAAAACAATCTCATCATTTACAGGTCTCTATTAATCTTGTCTGACGCAGACACGACTAATTTTCATGGCTACTCGTAGATCCGACAAAATTCTAGTCGTATACACGATGAATTGGTCCTATCTGCCGCAGACGCGGTGAAATTTCTTAACGTATACAAGCGCCTTTATTCTACAAAAAGAAAACTGGCTACGGTTGGGCTCTGTAGACGTAAAGACGTAAATATGGTTCAGTCCAATAGCAATTAACGGGAGTTCAAAATTTTTTTTGTTGTTTTACAATTTATAAAGGTAATTAAATTCGCATTTTTGGTTCACTGTTTTCCATTTACAGGAATAGACCAGTCGCTTCCGATAATCCCGGAAGACCCGGTGGATAAAAAGTTCCTAGAAACGGGCATACAGAGGCTCAACGTATTCGATGGAGACGAGTTCGACATCATGACCCGCGACGACGTGGACCTGAGCAAGATCCACGTGGGCAAGAAGCGGGGCAAGTACAAGAACCTCAAGGAGATGCTGGACGACAAAACCGAGGTTAAGAGTCGGATTGACATCTATAGCAAATATAAGTGAGTTTCTTTTTTCTTTGTAATTGACTCGTACTATTGTACTTTTGCCATGTCATCACCATCATCATCATTACAGCCCTTCACAAGTCCAGTGCTGAACATAGGCTTCCCCTAAGGATACCATCAAAGCACAGTCCTAAGCAACCTTAACCTAAATTACAACTTAACCTAAATTTACAAAAAATCATAATTGTAAAAAATTACCATTTACAAGTTTTGACATAAAAAATGAAATGAATGATTTTTATTCAATATAAATTATTGCTTAATACTTATTGAAAGTATTTTTTATTTATTTACACAGAATACTTAATATAACAAGAAAGAATATGTCATAAGAGACAGGCAAATAACAGCACACATAAGCTAACTTAATACTTTCAAAAAGAACAGAAGTTGTGAAACGATATTTTTACATAGTAGTGCCATGCTTAACATATATTGTGGTTGTTGCACAAATGTATGACCCATTAGTACCGCTACAATATTGCTTAAACTTGCAATGTACTCAGTGGCGAAGCCTCTATACAAGCCCAGAAGCCCGGTTTGCCTCATTAAGATGAATCAATCAATTATATCAAGTAATAAAAGAACTCGGAAACTGATTCAAACTATTTCAAATTTCCCGCGCACTCTGTTCGAAATCGTAGCCTTACGAATAAAGCTGTCATATATATAGGGAGAGTTGAATTGAGTGATTGGTTTTCTCCCTCGCACGCTTGGGCTTTTTACCGGGCTTTCGAGAAGACGATCGCTCCCTTTCTAACCTGTGGCAAAATGTTCTCTAATGAAATATAACTACGAAATGTTTATATAGCAATTACTATTGAGCCACAAGCCTGGCTTTGCCCTGAAGTTGTTTAGGAGTGCGTTAGCGACCAGCGAATGGGGTGCGGGCCATTCGTATGCAAGTTCACTTCACATGTCAATGTTTATGTTTGTTTTTGTTGTGTTTGTTAAAAAATTATACTTTTTCAAAGATTTTCAGTGAAAATGGGAGGATAATAGTGTTCTATAGTGTGTAGTAGTGCTAATCGGTGAGGAAAAGGTAAAATCTTTAAAAATGAAATTTAATATTGAATAAACATTTATTCATACTTTAAATATGGTTTTTTTTGGTTATTGAGTTTAAAAATATTATTTTGTACGGTTTATTATGAATTGAATATCATTTTATACGGTTTATTATAAATTGAAAATGTATAATTATATAATAAATAGTCATTATTTTATGGTAAAAAATTAGCAAAGCTTTATCTTCTCATTATAGCTATCTAATTCCTGTCGTAATCTGTTCTTTTATGCATATAACTTAAACAAAATAATTTCGAGGTTTCACATCTGCCAGGCGTCCCTTTTTTTAACTTTGTACATAGTTTGTTTGTACTTTGTTCATGCTTTTCTTTTGTTCATGTATTGTATTGTTTGTAAATATCTCAAGCAAACCCAAACGGCTCTTTTCAAAACCACCGAAGGTGTGCAATTGCATATGTCATACAATCTATCTAGCGGTAGTACGCTTTCTGTGTGCTTTTTTAAACTCGTCCTTGACAGCACTGAATATGAAACTAAAGAGTGGAGACAGCTCAAGATTGGTGTATTTTTATTAAACTGCTAAAAACTTCAAAACCATATCTTGGGCTTGCCCTAGTTTGGAGCCCTAGCTTCGCCCCTGACTGTACCTCTACCATGTTAAAGCTTGTGTTCACTGTGTGCTCTTTTGTGATCTTTATTGTGTAAAAATGTACCTCAATGTGCATTTACGGACTTCCTTCCACGTTTTTTTTTCCTTTTACTTAATTCTTAATTTCATTTATACCTCCCCTATTCGCAATTCAATGCAAACAATGGTTCTTTACGCAAAAAGGTCCGGAAGAAATCACTTCCAGAGATTTGTACCTTCTATATAATTTATTTCACTTTATTTGCATTTTAATGTGTATTGGTACATTAATTGATTGATATGTTGATTTTGAACATTACAGTCTGGTGTGCGAAGACGAAGCGATGTACTCCGACGAGTATGATGATACGTACGACTCTGACGGCGTGGTGCCTGCGGCTGACTCCGCTGATGACCCAAGGAGACCCTTCGTTACGCCCCGGGTGCTTGCCAACACACGACACGAGGTGAGGAGCTTCTTCATTAGCACGTCCACAGTCTTAGTGATGGGCACGATGTTTTTCTTCATCACTGAGCTTGTGTTTTTTATAGTATTAGTGTGATAAACAAGCACACAGTCCACCTGATGGTAAGTGGATGCTATGGCCCATAGACATCTACATCTGTCCTTGAATCGAATCAAAATGCAGATGCACTGTCACTGTCCCAAGTAAAAAGGGCCTCCGGTTCTCTATACTTATCATACGAAACACAGCAGGGTTGAGCTGGTATTTTACGCTGGTATTCTGTAAGAGCGTGGCCCTTTCTCGGCCGAGCTGACCCACTCGTGCTACAAACATAATATAGCTGCAGCGATACTCTACAACATGTGGTGAATTAGCACTTACTACAGTAAATAGTACCCTTAGTGGCGGTTTTGTTTCTTGTTTTTGTTAGTAGTTTGTTCAAGAGTAGTGTGATTGTTTCTAAAGTTAATCTTTAGATGATTTTATTAAATCATTACGCGGCAGAGCATTCTCAGTATTCCTGAATCAGAATTATTTAGCTTAGATCCGCGTAATGAAATAAAATTATGTGACTTCACCAAGTTTGAAGAGCACTTCCCGCTCTCCCTCAATTGTGTGCTCTATCTCTGTCACCACTAATCCCAACATCACTACACTAGGAAAGACCTTCGATAATACGACACGTGTTTCGCTTCTAAACGAGGCATTCTCTGGTGAAATAGAGTATATTTAATCAATCAACACGCACGTGCATCCACCAGCTTAAAATAAATGAAGTGTCTATTGAAATCCGGGAGGGGTGAGGTATTACGGATCGGCGGGAGGGGTTGGGTGGCCTTTTCTATACGTACGTTCGTACGTAGCACTAGTATGTAGTCTATGCTAACACAATACAGCTTCATATTAACCCTTCAATCCCCATAAAAATCCCATGCAGTCGTAAGCGCCTGGCAAATCTCGAGCTGTCGCAAGCGACCGCACCCACCCGCAGCTCTTAAAACCATTAAAACTTATATTTAGAGACTACTTTTCTATGAAGAAGTTCGGCATTATAAAATCTATACACAATTCTCTATCCTGTAATTTAAACAAAAGTCAGTTTTTACTTCGTTACAAAAAGATTTTATTGTATTTTAATAACAAAACACAAAACATACCAAACATATGTCGGCAGCGTGAAAATCACAATTATTTCAATATATATTACTCGAAATTTTATAATAAAACACTATACTAAAACACTAGAAAAATCCAAAAATCCCTACAATAACATTCACGCGAAAATGACGTACGAAATGAACGTAGATTATAAATAAATATCCGTAGGATAACTAACTTTTCATTGCACTAGAGGATAGAAAATTTCATATTAATTCTATAATGCCAAACTTCTTCATAGAAAAGTAGTCTCTATATATGAGTTTTTATGGGTTAAAGTGCTGTGGGTGGGTGCGGTCATATTTGACCTCTTGAATTTTGACGGAATATCAAAGTGGTCACATAATAAATAAATATGAATATTTATTAGATGTGTTTTAGCTTACTGCGTAGTGGCGGTGTAAGAACACCCACTAACAAGTATTGGGTGTTGTAGGAGCCGACAGAGGAATAAAAACCAGATACGCAGCAGCATCTTGAGAACAGCTAAATAAAAATTGAATTCTGTGGTTGCTAAATCGTTTTGCAAGTTGCACAATCGGCCTTTTTATAGGAAATGGTGAGAGATGACGAAGATGGTATGAACGTAGAGCTCCTTTAGTTGTGGCCTTAATTTGAAACGCTTCTCTAAATTTATGAACGTAGAGCTCCTTTAGTTGTGGCCTTAATTGGAAACGCTTCTCTAAATTTATGAACGTAGAGCTCCTTTAGTTGTGGCCTTAACTTGAAACGCTTCTCTAAATTTATGAACGTACTTGCCTTTGAAACGCTTCTCTAATGAATCTCTTTTTGCAGTCCTTTATTTGTGGCCTTAATTTGAAACGCTTCTCTAAATTTAAAAACCTTTTTTGGCTAATGAATACAAATCGCCAAGACAATTTTTTTCATCTCGGAGAGGTGAAGAGGGACAAAAATGGCAGAAACCTATATATCTATGGAAATCTATGTGGGGAGCCTATGTTCAGCTGTGGACTTGCGATAGCACTACAGACTGTAACGGTGTTTTAGTTTGATTTTTTTGTACATCGTACACAACACACCTGAAGTTACTGCACAATGCGACGCGAAACGTTAGTCGTACACCTATCGGGCGCACATATTACAGGTATGCCTTTCTCTCTTGATACCTGCGTAAGGTAACTGTCTACAATCGCGCTGAATCTCAGGTTAGATACGCAGTCAGGGCTAGCGCATTTTAGGCAGGACATTTGCAGCTACGTATGTCCGAGATGGCTTAATATTGCCTATTATGTGAGTCTCTCATGGAAGGCATGATGGGAACTAAAATTAACTTAAAAATACAACCCTGTACTAATCGTTTACTATTGGGGTTACATCCCGATTTAACCTTATTTTAAACAATAGAATAAATTACTATCCATGGAAATAGAGATAAGGAGAACAATCTCCCATAGCAGAATAGTTGAGAATGTGTCCATCTGTAAGCAGTACAGTAACAGTTCAAAAACTCTCCACAACAGCGCTCGAGTAGCTATAGAGTATGAAAAATTGCCGTAAAATACGTTGAGTGTGATTTGGAAAATAAAGATTTTGAAAACAATAAAATAATTATTGTAAAAAGAATTATGGTGACAGTCTGTGCAATAGAAAAATTATAAAAAGTTTTTTAAAATTTAGACTAACTACAGCGGCGCCACGTTTATTTAGCACTTTTCTACGGACACTTTTTTATACAGTTTGTTCTCCTTATCTCTACACTCCATATAACTATCCCCCCTATGAAGCAAAATATGACTGACCTATTTTCAGGAGCGGACTTTTGATAGCGTTTAACGGTAAGCAATAAAGAAAAGTGTTGCTATATAATTCTCTTTGTGAACAGTCGGAAGAGTCTGAAGAAGAAGAGGAGACTAAGCAGAACGAGGCGGAGAAAGCCAATGCGAGTGCGAACAGGAATAGAATGGATTTCTGCACGAATCCCGAGGAAATTCGGGCTCGGAGAGAAGCCAACTTCCACGCGAGAAGGGGAAAAGGGTTCCGACCACCACCACCTCGGTAATAACTTAATTTTTTTTAACGTTATCTGTTACTATTTTAGTTACTATTTTTTACGTTATCTGCGATTGGTTAGATTTTTTTATATTTACAACACATACAAAAACCCTGTGGTTCCCGTTAAGTGCGTTATCCGAATCAGTATTCAAACATATAGAAATAACTTTACTTCAATAACTTTAATTCACAAATTTACACCGTTAAATATTTAATATTATTTAAAATAAAATCATTTGCAAAATGTATGTTTTTTTACAAATAAATAGATTTTAACCCAATAAATGGTTTAAATCATTTATTGGGTTTTTCTATCAAGAATTTGGCGGTATTTTCATGCCCGTGCTTTGAAAATCGGTCTAAAGGGCATTATTAATTAATATTTTCTGCGTTCATTCTATATTTGTTGTACAATAAAGAAAAACCAATTTATATTTTAACCGACTTCAAAAAAAGAGGAGGTGTTTAATTCGATTGTACTTATTTTTTATGTGTTACTTCAGAACTTTTTTCTAGGTGAACCGATTTTAATTTCTTTATTTAATTTGAAAGCTGATGCTTCTCGTGTAATCCCGTATAAATGTGATGAAGATTTGATCCGTAGTGTTTAGGTTATCCTCAATAATCGTATTCAATTGACTTCGACTGCATGACAATGATCTCAGTTTATTTATATTGAACCTCTAAAATTTACTTACTTTTTATAATTACAGCAACACAGACGTTACGGGTAAACCAAAGGGTCAAGGTCAAGATAAGGAGGTCCTAGTAAACAGGGACAAGAAGGAGAAGCACAAATCTTCACGAGCCAACCACAATAGAAGACAAGGGGCCCAGTGGAAACGAAGTCAGGGTATGATGCCCTCTTAGAACGAAGTTATGAGCTGCCGTTTTTAGTGTTGTCAGGGTTAAGTTAATTTATATTTGGTATGTGTGTAATTTGATGTTAACTTTAAATTACACAAAATACAAATTCGAGGCTATAACGTGGTAGAGCCATGCTGCAATTATATTAGTAGTATAGTTGTAGCACGAATGGGTCGGCTCGACCGGGGAAGGACCACGCTCTCACAGAATACCAGCGTGAAATAGTAGCTTAATGCTGCTGTATTTCGTATGGTGAGTGTAGAGAACCGGAGACCCTTTTTACTGGAAATGAGGCATTCCATCTCAGTCCTCACGGGTGACAACGCATCTGCATTTTGATTTGTAATGGAAGATAGATGTAGATGTCTATGGGCCGCAGCAACCGCTTACCATCAGGTGGACTGTGTGCTCGTTTGTCAGCCTATCCTATAAAAAAAAAAAAAAGTGTTGCCTAATATTTATAAAAACTATCATTAAAATTTGTTAAAAAATTTCTTTGCAAACCTTGTTGAATTTGTTAATAAATTTACTCTTGAAACTAGAAACTTATACCTGTTATAAGGTCAAGTCATTGTTGCCCTTTACGACTCCGTCGTGAGTCTTACTTGTGTGTGTAGATACACACATATTATTTTTGTTTGTGAGCTCGAGAGTGAAAAGTTATTACCGAGTAGTGTAAGCAAAGGAAAGTAAACCACTTTTTCGAAATAGTATATGAGTGAAAAAAGAGCACACAGTCCACCTGATGGTAAGTGGATGCTGCGGCCCGCAGACATCTACATCTTTTTTTTATCGTGAGGAAATCCTCATGGATACCTTCTGTTGCGAGGGTTACAGAAAGGTTATGCCGGACTCTTACCGGCCAAAACCCCACAGTCGTCACCATCAGCGTATATATGAGGGATCTCGGGATCTCCGTTCAGAACACAACCGGGGCTCTCCCCTCTCTCGCTTTGCTATATTGAAAGCACGTCCCGAGGGCAGTTCTTTTCGCCCCCAGCATCTTCGCAGTGTTATTAAGATGTCTCGGGACCGCTTCCGAGACATCGTCCTCCTCGGGGGTTACATCTCTAGGCATTCGATCCCCGCCCCAAGCGTCTGCAACCCCAGGGGCCCCGTTTCTTGTAAGGGAACACCGTCTATAAAAGGAGGGCCGTGACGAACACCGTGGCGACGTCGTCTTCGAACAGAATCCACCCTCTTCCGATCCCGCTCAGCAGCCTCGATAACGGATTCACAGAAAGTGGCTACGGCCCAGACATCTTCATCTATCATCGAGTGCTGTTTTTGTTTTTTTTTAAACTCAATTATTACGCGGGGCCTGATTTTGATGATTCTTACGTCAATGGATTTGTCATAATTTTGCGAGTGTCACTGAACACTAATCAAAATTCAATATGGCAACAACCAGATGCCAAAAAATTAAAGTTGTCGAACTACGTCAAGTGGAGTATCGTTGAATAGGTCTTTGAAAATCATCTTTAAGTGTATCTAGGCATTTTTCAGCAGGATTCGAACACAGACGAGTTTTTTTAATTATTGTTTTTTTGTTACATGCAATATAGTGGTCAGTTGTGGTATTGTTAGTTGTCGACGGTCAAAGGCTATCGATCGCTTAAGTTTAATTATAAATCACCGTTGGTATTTCCTTGTTTAAATTCATATTTATTTTTCGTCTATATTATAAAACTAAGTACCCATGTTTGTTAAGGTGTGTATAAAATGTATAGTCTTTTGTAGATTTGAACATAATAATATATTTATTTATAAATATACATTTAAATACATTTTTGTTAATATTATCGATAGTATAGATAGACTACACCAGTAATAGAAAACCTTTTTACACATTGAATTAAGCTCATTTACCTACATATTATGTTAAATGATTTTTAAACGATTTTAATGCGGCTGTGACAGATATATGTCGGGTAAAAATTTATAAGTAAAATGGCATTAATATATTTAACTAATAATTAGTAATTGAATGATTTATACTGTCAAATTATAGTTGTTACAATTTGTGCGCAAATACAATTTGTGTTGTACCATTGGTGCGCTAACCTTGGCTACACCATCGATGGTATATGATCACTACAGGATATTAAGGGCCGATCCTCACCGTTCACAGTTTGTTCTCGGTCCGATCTCGGTGTGATTTATTATAATGGATTCGACCGAAACTTGATTGTTACCGGATAGTATGAATGCACACATATATTTTTTACTTGATAATATTTGATCAGACCGAGATCAAACCGAGAACGAACTGTGAACGGCATTGTGAGGATTGGTCCTAATTGTTATCTAATAGGTATTTATTATAACTATGTCGCAACTTTATTTTACAGAATAAATAAAAGTTTTAAGTAATTGTGTAACTTTATTTTTCACTTTCACCTTTCAGCGATTAGAATAATTGCTTTTTTTTTCACGGGACAAATTTGATACTCGAAATTTGTATTATATTAATATATTATTATGAATATCGTATAGAGCCGTGCCAGCTCAGGAGCAAAGCGCTTGCCATAATTTTTTCAGTACGCAAGCAACCCGGGTTCGATCTCGCCGCCATTAATGAATTTGTTACTTGCAATTCAAGTGTTGAATCGACGAATGTGTCTTAAATATTTTTAAGACCAGTGTTACCAACTTGACGGGTTTCCCGCTAGATTTGACGGGTCAGCGAGGTTAGCAACGGGAAAAAATTGTGATTAACGGCTAACGGATTTTTTAACGGGGTGGTTATAGGTATTACAAAACGGATGTATGTATATACTTTGGTAGATTGGATTCTGAAAAATAATCCATGTGTGTCAAGAATCGATATCAAATCAATTCATTCTTAATATTTAGGGGGGAATGAAAACTCGAAAATCCCTACTTGACGGGTTTTGGCTGGGATTATAGTGTTCTCTACAACGGGAGCTACGAGGGCGGCACTGAAAATTTCGGGAATCAAGGAAGTGACACAACATTATACTATTTAAAAATGTATTTATTGCTTTTCGAAGTATTCTCCGCGAAATTTGACACATTTTTCCAAACGATGGAACCAATCATTGAAGCAACATTCCATTCGGAAGTTGTGGTCTCCAAAATGGCCGTTTTGTAGGCGTCCACAGCTTCTTCAGGTGATGAAAATCTCTGTTCACGCAATTTATTCTTTATAAATTGCGTGGAAAAGTATAGAAATCATTAGGGCTTAGGTCGGGGCTGTACGGCGGATGGTCTAATAATTCTATGTTTTCTTGCTCTAAAAACTCTTTTGTTCTGTATGCGGTGTAAGAACTCGCATTGTCATGATGGAGGATGACGCGGCGGTTGCAGTTCTCTTTACGGAGTTCAGAAACGATCTGTGGCAAACAAATGCTAGCAAACCATTCTGCATTAACCGTTCTTTATCCCTCGAGAGGAATAGTCGTAACATGGCCGGTTTTGTAGACAAACGTGGCCACCATTTTTTTTTGCAACAGTCCGTGAACAAACAATTTTTGTTGGCTTTAACTCATTTTCGAACACCCAAACTCGAGACTGGTTTTTTGTTTCGGGTTCGTACGCGTATATCCAGGATTCGTCACCTGATACGATGTTGTATACAGCATTTGAAGACCCTGCGTGGAATCTTTCGAGAGTTCTGATGCACCAAGTAACGCGAGCCGCTTTTTACTCTTCACAGAGCGAATGCGGTATCCATCTCAAAATAACTTTGTTATACCTAATTGTTCATGCAAGATTATTTGTATTTGACTCATGCCAATGTCTCTAAAGTTGCCTGAATTTCACTGTATGTCACATGTCGATCTTCCTCAATCAGCTTACGCACAGCATCAACGTTTTCTTGGGTGACTGCAGTTTTTGGACGACCTTGACGGGGATCATCACTGAGCTTGACACGTCCAAGTTGAAATTCAGCAAACCAGCGATAAATTGTGGTTTTGGATGGGGCTTCATCACCAAATGCAGAAATCATCCGGTCAACACACTGTTTTTGTGTGTTAAACCACTTCGAAAGTCATAATAAATCATCGCTCTTGAATTTTCTCGAGTGAATTCCATTTTCTCAACAACTAAACAAGTTTGACAAAACCTTTGACAAGACCGAGAATCTTTTTTTAATAAATAAATGGTATTCGATTTTTAAAACCAAGGAGTTTTCAATTAAAAAGATTTTAATATGGCAGGAACAGTGGAAATATTCCATTCCCGATACTTTTAGTGCAGCCTAGGTAGGTAAAGGGAATAAAAATGATAAGTTTTAGGTGAGGTAAAATGTTCCGCAGACCGAATCATGGTTACGGGGGCTGGTATCAACGGAGTCTAGCCGCTGAGTAGGTAATGCAGGATTATAGTACCTACACTAGTGAATGCAAAAGCACAGGTGCACTCAATTACGTCACTTTAATAGTAGATGAGACGGCAATCCGACACGACCGGATTTCCGAAGAGATCGGGTACAGGACCATCCAGTTTACGTGTCCGACTATTCCATCGACTCCAGGCTGCCACTAATTTTTTTTAATAGAAAAACCCATTAACCAACGCAGGAAATAGAGTAAATGGCGCCCTACACTCTATTGTGAAGCGTCAGAATGTGTCAAAAAAGGCACGTATGGCAATTCACAATACTTTCCCTACTTTAACGTATGGTAGTGAAAGTTGCGTGTGGCAGAAGAAGCACGAGAGTAGAATAAACGCAGTAGAAATGCGGTCGTTAAGGAGTATGTTAGGGCTGAATCTGAATGACAGGGTGAGAAATTGTCCCCTGGGGTAATAAGAGCAAGAGTGGGGGGCCTTGGTGTGTGTGGTTTGCAAGATGATGTTGTGACCAGGATTAAGAAAGGAATGCTTCGGTGGTTTGGTCATGTGGAAAGAACTGAATCGAGGAAAGAGTGACAAAAAAGAAAAGTTTGTTTGTATTTGTAAGATAATGTTGTGACCGGGAAGTGACGTCCTGCTAGGGTCACGAAAATTTATCGACCCAATTAGCAATTTACTGAAAA